AACATAGCTCCATTTTCTGCCTTTAAAAGCACACACAACCCACAATTCCTCTATTCGCTGCGATGAAGGGCGAACACTCGAAACATCAGCTTTTGTAATCGTTACAGTGGCCAATTTACCATTTCAACTTTGTTGATATATCCAAATTATTTCGTTACCCCCACCGACACAGCCCCAAACAGTTTCTTTCGAAACTATCAGCCTTTACAGATAAGATTTCAGTTTCAAGAGAGCATTAACCTTAGGCTAGCATGCAATTTTGGGAACAATTTTGATGAGAAGGGTTAGCTTTAAGATACTTTTTAATTCAAGTTCTGAACTCTGTTTCACCTTTCAATAAGTCCCCTTTTTATTAAGCTTCTCCTCAATCCAACCTTCCTATAGATGCCTTTGACAAAATAAAAGTTCCTCAAGCTTCACAAAACATCTACTACTGTGCACTATCCAAATTCATATGTACCGCTGTACTAAGAGACAAATGGAAGCTGAAAATATTCACCTTTCCCATAAGGTGAAAAGAGTGATCCTCAGGTTTAGGAAGAGAAATATACACACAGGGTTCCAATTTAACTGGTGCTTGGCTCTCTTCAGAAAGTGATTTCCTAATTACTTTTGACATGCTTTCCTTGTTACTTTTAGTGTTATCTGAAATCTGGAAAATTTTGTGAATTAGTTTCTTGGTAGAATTTATCTAAAAAAAAATTATATTGACTGAGAAAGGTATCCATCTAGATGTACTGACCTTGTTATGTGGATATTTTATTATCTTTCTCACCTGAAACTTTGCAGGGCAGTCACATTTTTTGGTGTCTTGGACTATAACCAGCACTTGATGTGGTGGTGGCTATGATCAGGAACATTCTCCTGAGACAGTTATGATAATAGCTAATTGATTAGAAAAATATTACCAACTTACTTGATTTCCGGTCTGAAGTTTTTGAAAAGGAAAATTAACTATAAAAGTGTGTATGAAATGCCAGCAAGTGGATGGGATGGGTATGCTAAGAGAAGTCATGGTCCTGCTCTGTCCAATATTTCCATTGAGCCATCAAACTATTTTCTCTTTTCCTATGGCTTGAGTATTTAATTAGTAGCAATATATATCTGTCTGATTTCATTAAAACGTTTAGAAGAATCCATCAGTACAAGGTTTATAATCAAAGGTATATATTCAAGGTATATATGATAAACACGAAAAGGTGTTGAGTAACTGATGATCTCTCAATTTTAACTGTAGACGGTTGGTCTTAATGGTAGCTGCTTTGATAGCTCCCAATGTGTGGTTGATAATTATTTAAGGTAGAATATTAATTTGTAATAGTTTGGAGCTTTTTACAATTGAACTATTAAACTGATTGGAAATGTTGCATTTGTTTAATCTTCTGCAATGATTCCGGCTGGAAAAGAGCGGCGGCCTAATGGTCATGGTGCCCTAGACATCCTACAGGTGTGTATTGAAATGGGTGGAGGCGAATTTAAAACGGGGAGTAACCATGTGATGGACTAGCATCCCATCCAGGGGGAAGGGTCAGAGTAGAAATATTTCGTCGCTTAGGCTGTATGGGCTACTGGCCTGATGCAGACCTTTTTTAAATTCTAATACGTGCATCTCCATGAACAGTGCCGGTAAGGGTTTTTTTTTTGGGACCCTCAGAGAAAAAATTCGTATTAAATTATTTAAGTTGTGAACTTGCCATTGATTTTTAATCATCAATATTCTTATTTATTTATTAATTTACTTT